TAGCAGGCCACTAACATACCGATCCCTAAGGATCATACAATTATAACATACCGTCTATCCTGATTCCGATCTATCAGATCATAACCACATATATCATAACGATAACAACTAAAGGGCCGGCCTTAGTGCCTTAGACCCTTTTTGATATAGTGAGGATAACTCACCTCGCAGATGTCGACTCGATAGATAATTCCCAACCCTCAGATCACTTGCCAAAGACTCCACCACCTATTGCCATTGTACGAATATACTCATAAGTCGTCAACCTCACAAGGTACTCCATAAACCAACTAGTCAACCCCTGGTCAAAGTCAAAGTCCTCAGTCAAGGTCAACAGTCCATGTTGACCTTAACTCGCCGAGTACCCTTGGCTACTCGCCGAGTTCCTTGAAGTTCTTTCCCACTCGCCGAGTCACCGGGGTGACTCGTCGAGTTCCTACGGTTTCCGATCGAAACCCTAAGGCCACCCGCCGAGTTTCCTTCTTGCAACACGACGGATACACACGCATTCATAACTTGGGGAAAACTCATCCAACTCGCCGAGTTGTTCATACAACTCGTCGAGTCTATAACAATCTTCATCGGACTCGCCGAGTTGTTCATCCAACTCGTCGAGTTAAATGGCCATCTTCATATGACTCGCCGAGTCAACCTTGCGACTCGCCGAGTTCCTTCGGTCCTTAAGCCATACAGACTCATTTAAGCCATGTAATGGCTCCAAATTACAGATCCAAGCTTCTAGGGCATGCTTTTCACGTAAAGTTGCAGACTTTACGTGCATGCATGACTAAAAAGGCTCTTAATGCCAAATCTAAGCTCTTAATGGGATTTCATGCACAAGGAGGGCCTCATCCACGACCAAAACAGAAACTTTATGATTCTAGAACTTGAGAAGGGTCCAGATCTGAAGTTACAACTTCAGATCTAGTCCATAGCTCACCCATATGACTCCAAAAATCCATAAAACCCTAAAACTCAACCACCAAGAGATCTAGAAGAAAAGGGGAGTAAAGATTGTAACTTGATACCTCCAAAAGATGCTAGCTGAGGTAAGTTCTGTTTCCCACACCTTCCTTGCTTCAACTCCTTTGCTCTTCAAGCTTTTCCCTCCTAGCCAACCTTCTTTCTAAAGCTTAAAACACACCAAAAAGAGTATCACACGAATTAGGGTTTCACTGAGCTCTCAAAGACTGTAAAGAGGCCAAAGGAGGCTTAGGCCTCCTTAAATAGGGTGTAAAACCCCGCGATTTAGGGTTTCCTCTGCCAGCTCCTACTCGTCGAGTCCCTCCCTGGACTCGGCGAGTAGGTCACTTATCACGCGATCCCACCCCGCTGCTACTCGACGAGTAGGGCAACCAACTCGTCGAGTAGGACTTAAAACCAAAGAACCTTTTATTTAAATCCATACCTGAGAATCGGGGTGTTACACAGTTAACTAATTACTCTTTTTGGTCATCACAAAATAAGAACAGTGGATAACATACTATTATCCGAAGGGATACAATGAACTTTAAATCTTTCCTTGTTGAAGCTTGTTGAATTCTAAAATACTTATATTTATTTTGTTAAATCTTTTTAAACAATTATTTACATGAGCTAGTCTCGATTGCTCACTTGCCCATCCATGATTTGGCTTATAATCTGTCTTGTGCCAATAATCTATTGCACCTTAGCTTTCATGTGTCTCAGGATTCATCTAATATAAAACCAAAAATACTTATTATTAGAAGTAAATCATCAAGAAGGTATCAAATGTAACAAAGTTCAAACATTTTACCTTTTTGTATCATGCACTAATGTAAGGTTGAGTTCTGTGAAAACTAGGAAACGATTGTTTGTTCCGATTTTCAGATGATTAGGAGTTTGAAGGAAGAAACTCATCTCAATAATTTTGTCCTCTTTAAATATAACTGATTAACTTATTGTAATTTCTGTCTAAATGAATTCGATATATATATATATATATATATATATATATATATATATATATAATATATATATATATATATATATATAGTTAGGTTCAAATGTTCCTAGCATCTATTGTGTGCTCATAGGAACCAATATGAATTTAGGAATAAATAAATAATCAAAATAAGGATAGATATGTAATTTTGCATATAAAATAAATAATAACCAAATTTAAATCCCTTGATTCATGGATCAGTCCCCTTAAATCAAGCCATCTGTAACCCTATGCCTCTAAGAAGTCATCATCTTCTCCACCCAACAACCATCGTCAAAACTCAACGTGGTCATCATCTTCTCTACTACAACCCACCTGATAACCCCATTAATCCCCTCTGATTACATCAAGACTGACGCAACTACTTTATACCAAGAAGAAAGGGCATAATACTTTGAACAATTAGAGATTGGAGAAGAACGTGAGGTCGATTTGGCTTTATTAATTCAATATAACAACTACAAATGTTCGATTAGCATTAAGTTTTTGCTCATCAGGTCTGATTTTGCTATCTATTTTCTTTTTTGCGTGGCTCTAATTGACTCTTGTTCCCTTTGTCCCAAAAATGATCTCTTGCAAATCATTATTAGTCGTTTTCATCGATGTCCAAATAGGTCCAATTTGTACTTAGTTTGCATTTGGGATCGCTAATTTTTACATCAGCATTGACAGATGCTTCAAGATAAACTCTGAGTTAAACATGTCTGCCAGGTGTTTGTTGAAATGTCAGATGCGTTGAAATGGTAGATGCTTTAAGATATGCTCTTGTAGTAACACCATTGGGAAAATGGGTTGTTCTTGAACACCACCCTCACTTTATTAGAATGTATTGGTATGCTGTAAGCACTGTTTTCTATGCAGAAATTATTGAATCGCTTGATGCTTATGTGTTTGCTAAAACTACATTCAAGGATTACAACTCCTTAGGTTACTTTAACAGTTTAATTTTGTGTTTTTCTTAGCCTCTTTACCAATTTACTGTTTATATATCTTCGTTGAATTTTTTGTTGATGGATTATGAAACTAGTTTTTATTATAACAAGTTTCTCAGAGAATGCATTCTGTCAGAATTTAACATTGTGGTATGCATTCTGTCAGAATTACTAGCAACATATGTTTTATGTAATTGTTTAAAAAGGTAATTAATTTGTCTGTGTATTATTTTGGTTCAATTTGTGATTTTGAATTCCAATTTCTATTGTCCCTCATTATTGTATATTTGGAATCTAAAATTATATTAGCAGTAAATACGATACTTTTGAATGTATTTTATAAATTCTGTCAGAATGTATTCTACCAGAATAAAATATATGTATTCTGCCAAAATGAAGTCTATGTATTCTGTCATATTCTATGTATTCTACCAGAATATATAAAGTGATAGTTAATTGCAAGTAACATGTTTTTAACCATTATTAGTTTTTGTTGTATTTGTGATAGGAATGGCTGAAAGAATGCATTGAAGACCTAATATGAATAACTTGAAGAATGAATAAAGTTTGATCATACTCACAATTTAAGAATGTTGTTATTTTTATAGAATTTTATTCATTTTTGTTGATATTCTTTTAGAATATGTATAATTATATTAAAACTAGATTATAACCTGCGTTAAACGCGGGGGAACGTATTAAAAAAATTACCAAAACATTTATATATATTGCATAATAATTATAAAAGAAAGTTTATGGCTACTGTTATTATTAAAAGGTGAAGAAGAAACACTGAAATCGATAAATAACTATAAACGTTGCAGGACCTTTTTGTAGACAACGTTTTTTGTTTTATTAGTTGAGCGACCTTCCTCGTCACATATGAGTACCTTCAAACCTTTTTTTGTTTGTTACACGAGAAACAGCTACATATAACTGACCATGGGTGAAGACAGGTCTATGCAAGTATAATCCAACATTTGATAATGACTGTCCTTGACTTTTGTTAATGGTCATAGCGAAACAAACTGCTATTGGGAATTTCCTACATTGAAAACAGAATGGAATTTTTTTATCGGATGGGGTCAACTTCATGCGAGGCATATAAGTAGTCTCGTTGAAAAATCTACCAGATATGATTTGTGCTTCAATGACGTGCCTTCCAAGCCTTACGATTTGTAATCTGGTACCATTGCATAGCCCTCTGGTTTGGTCGATATTACGAAGCAACATGACCGAAACACCTTTTTTTAGTATAAGTTTATGGTTGGGAATTCCGGAGGCCTTAAAAGCGTTCAATACATCCAGAGAGTATACTGATTCCTCAAAAGAATCTTCTGTCTCGGTCTCACATAAGGAATCTGATCTCAGATATGTTTTCCCTTCATCTTTCATCAATTCTAACATGTAGTCGTTGATAACATTAACTTCTTCATTAGTAGGGACCAAAATAGTTTTATCTTGAAAATACGATGGATCATCAAGATTGTTCTGAAAAGATGAATAAATGCAGGATACAATTGAATGAATATGGTCACCCGTAGAGGGAACGATCACATCTTCTGGAAATTCAACTTCAACTTCACCATCATTAGGACCACCGATAGTACCTTCACCAATTTTAAGAATCCAATTAGCAAATGATTTTGTCTCTTCGAAATCATTGTTTGGACAACCGAACTGAAGTCTCATGTTTACAGTCAAACGTAAAACTGTACATTCACGCCATAATCTTGATGAATGCAATGATGACTACACAATATCTGAACGATTTCCTTTTTGTATTACTGGAAGAATTTGTCGAAAGTCACCTCCAAATACAATGGTCTTGCATCCAAATGGTTTATCATTGTTCTTAGGAAGGATAATATCTCTAAGTGTCCTATCAGCTGCTTCGAAACAATGACGATGCATCATTAGGGCTTCATCCTAAATTATAAGGCTCGCTTTGTTAAACATGGCAGCTACATCGTTACCTGGCGTAATAGAACAAAACGATTTCTCATTCAAGTTAATTGGTATATGAAATCTTGAATACGCTGTCCTACCACCAGAAAGAAAAATCGTCAATGATAAATATCAAATAATCATAACTGCTAAATTTATTCGAGTTTTTCCATTTTTGGAATCTTAAGGGTATGAGGAGCAACACCATCTTTTGAGGAAGACCATTCAAACGATTCAGTGGTGGTAACAATCTCAATAGGGCGTTTCAGTGAAGTAGTTGTCGGTGTCACCGCATCAAGATCAACAACATTAATATTGTCACCTTTAACAGAAAGACTCTTTTCCTGTATCAAATTAATAAAACAATGTTAATTAACAACATTAAGATTGTCACCGCATCAAGAATAAATGTTTATTAACAATGTTAAAATGTTAAATTATATGAATTTAATTTTACCTTAATAGACTTGTTGATAGGAGTACCATCAGAATGAATAATGTTTTCTTCGTATGCAGGTGAATGTTTGAAAACTGCACCAACTACAAGTTCATCATCAGTCATCTTATGAACGGTGTAGGCGTGATAATTGTTCTCGTGATTAAACTTTGAAATCTGAACTTTAAAAACAAACTTCCTATTAAGCATCGTATTGAACTCATCGGGGATCTTTTGGCGTCCTTGATCCTAAAGAATATTATAATAAAACATGTGAGTAGTTAATAAATCCCGATTAAAATAAAATGCAATAACAATATACAGTTAACTTGTCGTGTGTACAAATTAATAGAATAGTATAATATAACGCTACCTTTCATATCTTTTCCATCAACCAATGATTACCGCGGTGAATAAGATCTTTAATATGATGGCCAAACAATACAAAAGAAGCAGACCCAGTTTCATGTTAAACACGTATTACGACCCTTACCCTAAATATTATTGTATGACACGTTAGTGGACAATGAAATAAAAATTGAAACATTGTAATAAAGATTCATGAGACAAGAAGTTTACAAATGTAAAATTATGAACTTACTTGTTGAATACATCAGAAACTCCTCCGCAACCATTACAATTAAATGGTTCACCATCACTATCATCACCATTTTTAGTTACCTTTTTTGAACAGTCACGACAATAAAAAGAATACCATCCTTCCTCTAAATCGAAACTGATTATAGTAGCAATGATAGACAAACCAATTTCCTGATTGGTATATATATATATATATATATATACACACACACACACACACACACATTAAAAAAATTGTTATATATAATGGAAAAATATGAATAATATTAAGTATACCTCATTGTAATCTGAAATATCATCAATGTTTTTGATTTGAAAAAAGGAGGTAGTAATCTTCTGGCTTGGCCACAACAGTTTTTGTGTTAGGTTGTGTAGTATTAATGGAAGACTCAACATTCAAATTGATATCAACAATGCTACATATAAGAAGGAAAAATGAAGAAGATCAACAATAATAATAATTATTGATTAAGAATAAGTAGAAATAAAATAGTAAATAGTTATATCATAGTCATCAAATACATACGCCTTTTTAAATTCTGAAATATGATGCATATCATCATTAATATGCAATTTCGACCCAAATAAATAGTTACCGACTTGTGGCTGACCTATAAATAGCAAATGAAGTAATAGATTATTTCATATTATAAATAAAATATTAATGTAATGAGCATAAACATCTAAAAATAATTATTCTTACCACCCCAAGTCTTGAGCTTTGCCATACGTAGGAGGATGATCACAAGAGCATTTTCATTTTGATGTTCAAATATGTAGCTGTTCAACTTCAATGCAAAACCATCCCACAAAGCAACTTGCATTTTCCTACCACTGTAATTGATTGTTTGGGTTATATGAATAAAATATTAAACATGATAAATTAATGAAAAATAAAGAAAAGTACCTCAGATCTTGTGCAACAATACTCATTAGCCTTGTTTCCCTTGCATTCTCCTTAATCACTCTCATGAGTTCAGTAGATACAACTTGACCAATAAAATCTACAAAAGGTAAATTTGAATCAATTATTATAATATAAAATGGTTAAAAAATATATAATATAATAAATGCAAAACTGTTAAGGGGAAAAAGCTCACCAAATGCAACACGAGTGTCAAAATTTCTGGCTGTTAGATCATGAAAACTCACAAAATTAAAAGGATCGATCCTATCAACAAAATGAGTTGATACACAAATTGTGGTTGTTTTGTAGGAATTTATATTATGCTTGTGAGCAACCAACATGTAATCTCTTTCGTTTATGGTCATACCAAAGTTAGTGATTTGCCTTACAGCTCCTTCTTCCAGGAGGGCTTGAAATGCATTTATGATATTCTTTTTGATTGTTGCATGTATTCTAGTGCCCTGTAGGTGATAAAGAATATTATTATATGAAACAAAAATAAAACATAAGTTTTTTTCATATTATTTTAATTTTACCTCCTGGTCCATTAAAATCATGTCCAAGCTGCTGACCATGTTTGAGTTGTTTTTGTATGTCTGTTTCCAAATCATGACAACTTGAACACGAATATTTCATGATTCTTTGGAGGCATCTATGTCAGCCAACTTATGAATGATGATTTCACTGTCACTGTTATGTGTCATTTCACTTGTGCAATGAGAAATAGAAAAGTATTAGAGATAATTATGAGATATAGTGAAAAAAGTAATTCAAAGATTCACAAGGTTTTTGTTAAATGTAAATATGATGTTGTTCAATTAACATAGACATTCTTGGTTGGCATACTTAACCATGAAAAAAAAACAAAAATAAACATTAATTGTATTTTGCAAAATAATAGTTTGCTGCAATTATGGATTAATGGAAGTAGGATGATATCAAATCAAAACATACATAATATGTTGATATATTTCACAGAAAACAACAAAGCAAAAAAAAATGAGTATGAACACTTATCATATAGAAGGCTGTAGAAAGGAAGAAGTATTGATAAACAATGAAATGCGTACCTTTTTTCCTTTGATTAACCAAGCTAACAATTGTTTACTGCAATAGAAGGTTGTAGAAAGGAAGAAGTATTGATTTAGTATCGTAAATATCAATATAAACGAAAATGTAAAAACATAGATAAAACACAATAAAAACTCACATTTTGCAGGAGCGTTGAAGGAAAAATTAAAATGGGTTTTGGCGGAATATGTCATATATGTGTATTAAATCGAAGTTGGTTTTGGAGGGATAAGATAAAAGTCATTTTTATCTTATCCCTTAAATGTTGAATTTCAAAATGTAGTTCGGATAGATAATGTAGAACATTTTAGGATTATTTTTTAAAATTTAAAATTTGGATAATGTTGATGGTTAGTTAAGTTCCCGTCTTTGGTGGCTGATTTTTCGATTTGAATATGGGAAGTAGTTATGATAGACGGAAATAAATAGTGAATTGTTTTGTTAGGATGACATCACCGGAAATATTAAGTACGATCTAAGGGTTGAAATCAATCAAAGAAATCCAAGGGCTTGAAATGCATTTATGAGATTTTTTTGATTGTTGCATGTATTCTAGTGCCCTGTAGGTGATAAAGAATATTATTATATAAAAAAAAACATAAGTTTTTTTCATATTATTTTAATCTTACCTCCTGGTCCATTAAAATCATGTCCAAGCTGCTGACTATGTTTGAGTTGTTTTTGTATGTCTGTTTCCAAATCATGACAACTTGAACACGAATATTCCATGATTCTTTGGAGGCATCTATGTCATCCAGCAATAAATACGATACTTTTGAATGTATTCTATAAATTCTGTCAGAATGTATTCTACCAGAATAAAATATATGTATTCTGCCAAAATGAAGTCTATGTATTCTGTCATATTCTATGTATTCTACCAGAATATATAAAGTGATAGTTAATTGCAAGTAACATGTTTTTAACCATTATTAGTTTTTGTTGTATTTGTGATAGGAATGGCTGAAAGAATGCATTGAAGACCTAATATGAATAACTTGAAGAATGAATAAAGTTTGATCATACTCACAATTTAAGAATGTTGTTATTTTTTATAGAATTTTATTCATTTTTGTTGATATTCTTTTAGAATATGTATAATTATATTAAAATGTATTAAGACTTTTAGTCTGTAAGAATATGTATGATTTTGTATTTAAGTTCGGATGTATAATAATATATTTGAATGTTGTTATATTTCAACCTCGGATTCAAGACTTTTGTTATTCTTCAATAATATTCTAATAGAATAAAATTCTGAAAGAACATCATTCTAACAAAAAAAATATTCTGACAGAATAAAATCGGTTATGTTTACAAATTACGTTAGAATTAAAATTAATTAACTAAAAAAATTAGATTTTTAAAATTAGGAGAATTAATTATCCCTAAAAATCCAAAAATTTCCTTTTATAAAATGTAGTTAATTTTCCAAAATACCCTTTTGCTAAAATTTGTATGATTATATGATACATGTTATCCCATTGTAATATCATACACTCTCAAATCATGTCCATTGATTAATTCCATCCGTTGGTCCAGATCTGTGCATTCTGGCACACAATAGTTAGTAAAAACAAAATAACCTAAGTATATATATATATATATATCTATATAGATTATATAATATATATATATATATATATATATATATATATAGATTTTGGGATGTTACTTGCAGAACATAAAAAGAATGATCATTAGCAAATTCAAAGGTTGTGGAATCCGTTCCACTACCGCCATGCTCAAACTGGATATTTAATTATCAAAAAACATCCAACATCCTTAGATTAACATCCTTTGTAATGAGATTGTGAAACCCCAAATAATGGAAAGATAAGTAAAGTATATCAAAGTACCAAAATGTACTCATCCAAAACAAAGAATTTGACTTCAAATTGGAAAAGTACCAAAAAAACCCTAATACTAAAAAATGTTACTCTTGAAATAAAATTAACATCCAGATCCGAAACAAACAGGGATGAGAGAGCTTACTGGAGTTGGGGAGACATCGAAGGTGAGAGGGATGTATGTGAGGCAGAGGCAAATAAAAACATAAATATCAAACTACAATGTGAAAAGCAATTAAAAGGTCCATTAGGCTTAGGCTAGTGGGTATGGTGCCACATTTACCACCGTCCACATCAGCGTCACATCATATCTGTTTGCCACACTTGTCATTTTTCATGGCGTGGGTTGCCACACTTGCCACCATTTTTTTAAAATTTATTTATTTTAAAAATAATCAATTTAACCAACTTAATATAAAACTAAAACTATAATTTCATTAAAATTCAACGAAAAATACAACAAACACAAAAAAAACATAGAAAAATAAAATTACAACAAGTAAAAACATCATAGAATTTAAAATGGGTACACAAAAGAATATTAATAAAAATTAACTTATATAGAATTAATTTACTTGAATTAATATTAAATATGAAAGGACATAACCGGCGTTTGGTCACCGGAGCTCGGCATGCAGAGCACTCGGCCCGGTGTGCGCCGAACCTACCGAGCTCCTTGCCGAGCCAATACCTTCCAGCCTTAGCCTCATACCAACGGACCATATAAACCATAAATTAGTGATCTGAAAGTGAAATAAGCTTCTGTTTTTTATTAACTGTTACTCAAAAGTCCAAAGCATTGATTTTGTTCGAAACACCATATAGTCATTGATTTTTTTTTTAATAAATAGACATTAATTATGTTAAAAAGAAGTAACAAATAAGATATATTAATAGAAACAATTAGTCAATTACTATTTAGCACATTATATTACAGAGAATAAATTACCAAAATACCAAACAAGATTCGAATCATAAGAAATCTGAAATTTACCTCAAGATTATGTTACGGAGAAAAGTAGAAGAGGAGAAAATAATCAAAGCTAACAAATTGGAAATATAATTCAAAAATCTAAATTATTTGACAAGACTAACATATTACAGAGATCAAAAGAGGAGAAAAGAATCAGGATTGGAAGTTCCGACATACTGAAAGTTGAAAGTAAAGAATTTGTTTAAGGGGAGAAATTTTTATTTACTTACCGTTTCAATGAAATTTCTATCGACTGATTACATATCGACTTCCGGTCTGTGCTAGTTACGTCGATGAAGGTGGTGGTGAAGGTGGTTGGAGTAGGTGGGAACTTTGGTGGTTTCCGTCCGTGGCAGTGGTTCTCCGCGAGTATGGCGGTGGTTTCCGACATGACAGTGGTGCCTAGTGGTGGCTAAGGTTGCCGACGGTGGTTGATGGTAATTTTATGTAGGGTGTGTTTGACTTATCTTTTGAGAGGCCAAAAGTCCTTTTAGGAAAAGTTGCAAAAAGTCAGGTTTTCCTGACTTTTCCAAAAAGTTCATTTTCCTTATATCCAAAATCCAAAAGTAGCTTTTAAAAGTGCTTTTATCAAACATCTTTTACTTTTTACCTTTTCCTAAAAGGACTTCTGGCATCTCAAAAGATAAGTCAAACACACCCGTAATAAACATGATAGAGAAATGGAGTGGTTGATTGGTTGTGTTTTAAATAGAGATGTGTTGGTTGGGTGGGGTTATTAGGGGTTTTATTTTATTTTATATATATTTTTAATTATAAAAATATTTAAGTAAATCAAATAAAATGAAAAACAAAATCGAAAGGTCAAAGTAGTCATTTCAAATGGTTTCTAATTTTCAAGGACCAAATCTACATTATATTTTTGATTTTAAACCATCCGTTTGTGTGAAAAAAAAATAATACTCCCCTTTTTTGTTGCGTAGACGAAAAAGAAAATGTTAGCCCAACTTCACACTCCACAACAAAATGTTAGCTAACCCACAATAAGAGCCCAAACACCCTTCTACCCCTTGGCGGCCCGACTCCACATCTAGCAGTAGGTGTTTGTTTGGATGGATCGGTTTGATCCGATCCAATCAAGTAAATCCAAATTGATTTCGACTTTCAAAACATGGATCCGAATAGCCCAAAGTAAATTCAAATCCGATCCGATCTGATCTAATTACAATTCGGTTGGATCGGTTTTATAATTCGGTTTTGAAAAACTTAAACATTTTAAACGACATATAATTATAATATTACCCAATTTTACACAAGAAGTGAAAACATATTTAGTTGTGATTTGAAATTTATAAACAACTACTAAAAAGGTATTTTATAGTTAAATATTTTATAGATATAAAACTTTTGAGAGAAAATGCATATTAATGTTTTTTTATCGGGTAAAACGTTTAGAACCTATTTGAAAAAATAAATTACAAAATTAATAAATAACTATAGATATATATTAAAAATAAATAAATAATAAATGTTTATTTGGTTTTTTTGGACTATTCGGTTCTTATTTTATAACCAAAATCAATCCGAAATCAAAAATAATAATTCGGTTTTGTTGAAAACCAATCCAAAAATCCGAATATCCGAACCAAACAGTCCAATCCAAATTGTCCAATTGGATAATTCGGTTTTATCCAAATAGTGAACAACCCTATCTAGCAGTACCCCAGCAACAAAAATCGATCGTCAGCCTCCTCCTCCTTCTTTGGTTCTTCTTCGATTTCTAAGTAAATTACATGAATAGCATATGGTTTTGAATAATTTAAATGTTTGGTTCCTAACTTATATTTTTAATTCAGACCGTCTCTATTATTTGTTTTTGTTGCGTCTGTAGTCCTTGCCAGACATAAAAAGATTACTTTGCCCTTATTTATTTATTTATGTATTTTTTTTAATTATTGTAATTTATATATTTATGATTAAGCTAATAATTACACACCCACCCCCTTGTCTCTTCCAGACTTCCAACATTTGGTTCATTGGGTGCTCTATTTATCGGAGTAACTCAACGTGTGGCCTGTTCTGAAATATATTTTCAAGTTTGGTGTTTTTATGTTGCCTTTTTATTATTTAGGTGGCTTTATAATACAGTATTAGGTTAATTGTTTCGTAACAGTTTTAAAAATCATGGCATCTATATCTTTAGGTGTTCCTAGTCAAGGAGGTTCATACAAAGTGAATTGGACTAGCTGCAGAGCATTTTAAGTGAGGACGAGAGGAACCATTTTTCCAAATCACGTTACAACTTGTTCAAGATAATAAGCATATGAACTAGTATAGGAACCCATGGCTTCGCATGGGTCGGAAGGCATTTTTTTTTTTTCCAGATTTGTTGGTGTCAAATGTAGTTGTGTTGGATGAAAAAAAGAAAGTACCATCTAAGTATCTAACCCCAAATACAGCAACTGAATCAACCAATATCTATGATGATTTTCCTGGAAATACAAGTAAAACAAAAAACAACATAAATGGGATTGCATTGCCATACCTGGATTATCAGTTTTAGCAACTACGATTATTCAACATAAATTATAGCACAATTTGTCGCTGAAAGGATCAACAAACCTCATAAGGTGCAAGCCGTTTGAGGAGCTGATATTTGGGTGTTTACAAATTTGAAGTGTAAGGATTAAACAAAAAAGAAACAAACACACTGAATCTTTGGGAAACGAAAACCAGAATATATATGAAGAAGATAGAGCAAAAGAACATGTGAACACATAAAGAATCCATTTATCCGTTTTTGATATCATTTTGATTATAAGAGTTATCAAGATTCAAGAAAAATGATTACCTTGGATTCTTTGTACAGTGTAATCTGCATCTATGCTGGTATGTGGTAACAACCCCTTTACCCTCCTATCCTATCCTACTCTGTCAAAGCATCAGCAGTGAAACCTTGATTTCCCAATATGCCCTCCTTACAGAATCAATAGTAAACTGGGAAGTATATATGCGTATTTGTATAAAGACATGTGGATAGTTATAGGTTAATACTCTACAATAACATTCTTACAAAACAAAAAAGAGAAGTTGAAAAAGTTGAAATAACGAAAATATCAATAAGAGAATCACCTCTTCTAACCTCGACTTGTATATGCACCATCACTATCCTCCTTTGTCAAAACATCAGCAATCAAACCCCGATTTCCCAATATGCTCTTGTTGTAGAATCAATGTCCTCAGGTAAAATAAACATGTTCATTTCATTTGTTGAAACAACTAATAAAATTCCTAATTTGTTAAACCGTATGCAAGGAGACACCTGAAAAATGAACTTTTTAACAAAAGAAACATAAGTTATTAACATAGAGTTATAAAGAATTCTATTTAAAAGAAATAGTCGGATAATCACCCATAAACCACCCTCATCATCAATAATTTTTAATAAATTAAAACAATCCATATCCCAAAATTTAATTAAAAATTCATCAATGAAAAAGCATGAAAAATGCAGCTTGTAGCTGTTGTTCCTATTTGTTTCAACTTTCAACCTCTTCTCTTGTTGCAAAGTTAAGGCTATGTTTGACTGAGATCAATAAAAACTCCATGATTAACTAAAGATATGAATATGTGGTGTTATGAATTTTGATGTTGGTTTAATTAGTTCATTTACACCTCAAGATATCATGGTCCTGGTTTGAGATCATAGTAAAAATAAGGTTTCTTCTTTACTCCAAATCTCTATCAAGCTTTAAAGAAGTCTCTAATCCTAAGATGTTAAAGTTCTTCTGATATGCGAAAACTGCTTCCACAATTTCCTTCAAACAAAGGACAATTAAGTATAAAATGGCTAAGATTGAAAAGAATTCATTGAAAGAGATGATTTTGTTCACCTTATAAGAAGCATCGAATTATTTGAAGCTTCATATGGTCCTGTTCAGGATCTTTGAAGAACATATGGTTCCAAGATTGTCTAGTATTATGAAATAATTAGATTCCTTTTCTTTAACATATCCTGTTTCTCTGTCTTGATCACTTGAAAAAACAAATGATAATAAGTTCCAAAATGTATAAAATTTAAACGATAAAAGTTTAAAAAGCATTCAAAATAGAAACGATAGTCGTGAGTAGCGAAGCTCACATGAGTTGACATGTCTATTGCTGTTTACCTGAAGTCGCAAATTTGCATAACTGTAGAAGAAGCGCACAAGTCAAGTTTGGGCACAATTTCAACTTTTTACACCCTGTATGAAAGAAATATTAGTCAATTTCATATAACCAATTATCTAGGGTTTATAAAATTACCATTCAATTTCTGTTGGTGGAAGAAATTAAGAACTGGTGGTTGTTTCCCATAAAAAGCCGAATTAATACTTCACCTGCGGTCTGCCGGATTAGCTCCGCCGATGGCCTGAACTCAGTTGGCATCAGATGTTGAAGAAGAAGCGAAGCTGAAGAGTAAAGTACCTCAAGTAGCGCCATAGCCAGTAACAATGCTGAGGATGGTTGTTCGTTGACGATGGCGTGTAGGGTTAGATAGAAAGAGGACTGAGAGACGGAGGATGGAAGCTGATTGGATGAACCGGTTGTCTGAGGAGTGCGAGAGAGTCAACGTAGCCTCGTCGAAAGGCAGCTTCCTATGGATACTCTTGTACTGGTCCCAAATCTCTATCGATGGCAGTGGTAAGCACGGTGGCGACGGAGAATGTAAAGAACACCGACCTTATGGTGTGTCGGCGATTCCGACAAATTTTCTTCACCGGAGTCTTCAAGTGGTGGAGACGACAACAATTCGTGGATTGAAGAACCAGTTTCAATGCAGGGCACACCGGAGATCGAGGGGAGTCGGTGGTGGTGTGGTGGAGTAATTTAATTGGGGAACAGAAACGGTGGAGGACACCATTGTCAAGAAGAAGACAACGCATCAGCTCCACCGTAATTTTGTTTTACCGAAACCAATGTTCATAAGAACGTTGTGCTTTAATTGTATGTTTAATTTCTACAAAAAGTTAGAGGGAGCAAATTGTAATTTCAAAAAAGAACTGGGACAATTTTGACAGACATGAAAAGCCAGCCACAAGTGACAATAGAGAAATAAACAAAGGACCAATTCTGTCAAATCCTTAGGAACTTTACTGTTCCTAAGGTGAGACAATTTTAATATATACTAGAAAGGTTACCCGATGACAGACATAGAAAGTGCAAGGATGAAAAGTCCGGGCTTTGCCCCAGACAAAAAATGTAAAAGTTTTGACTGCAAGGACTAGAAGTGTGAAAATGGCTAAAGAATTAAAGGGGTAGGAATTAGCAACTTTTTAGGAAAGGGATCAAAGTTGTCAAACCGTTAAAGTTTTGTGGCCAAACTTTAAATATTAAAAGGTTCCAAAAATATTGTAACAAAATATTGATTGCAAGGACCAAAAGTGTCAAATGGGTAAAGAATAATGAGCAAAGTTGCCAAACAACATCCAAATTTAGTATTCCTAACCTCCAACAATAATACATGGACCAATTCTGCCAAAAAAATGGGAAGTTGAATGGAACACAAACAAAAGGATATGAATAAATTAATTAAAGAAGTACAGAGACCGGATATGTAAATCAAGGGACCAAACCTGGACAAAGTATCCCAACTTTACTATTCTTTTCTTCCACAACTTTAATATATATAATAATAGATTAATAATTATGAGGTTATATGAAAATCTTCACCACCTTTTCCACCGAAAAAACATCCCACCGAACCCACTAGAATCAGAAACTCTTTCAAACCAAAAATCAAAATAAATACAGGGTTAGGTTTTATTTTAATTTATTTTATTATTTAAATAAATATATAATACAATTTAATAAAAAGAATAAACAACTCAGGACAAAATAGTCTTTTTATATTTAGGAAGGACCAAGGGCGCAACAAAGACAAATAGTGGGGATGATCCGAATTTAAAAAAGACAAAATTGCAAAAATGGTCCCTGTGGTATGCATTTTTTTGGGGTTTTAGTCCAAACCTTGACTTTTTTGGATTAGTGGTCCTTTTGAGCTAGTTTCATTGCGGATTAGGTCCCTCGGTAAACTGAAATGACTGTAATGCCCTTCTGATTTATTTTTTATTTTTTTTTTCTATTTAATTTAAATGAAAAAAATAATTAATTAATTTGGGCCTCTCTCTCTCTCTCTAAGAAAAAACCCACGTATCTTTTTCTCCCTACCTCACCTATAACTCAAAGCCATTAAAAATCAGATTAGTAAAAAGGATGATACTAGAGAAACTAGAGTGGTGGTGTGTTGGGGTTTATCAAAAAGAAAGAGAAAAGTTTTGGGGCTCGATTCAGTTTTTTTTATTGATAGAGCTAAAGGGGGAGATGGAGGATCTGTGTGATCTGCAGGTGACGAATAAAAGTACAGAGGGTTCTTGATGGGTGATTTCAGAAGGAGACGACGAGAGGGGATTTAAGTCAAAGATGAAGAACGAGATTACGACATCGGAAAGGGTCGTTGATTTAGACTTGGAAGACGAGAAAGATACTAGAAGAGTGGAGAAAAGACAATAAAAAAACATCATTCCTCAATTACTAGCACCTGCTTCATCTTCATCCAGTGGCAACCTCTCCGGTGAGATCTTAAAAGGTTTTCTGGTGATCTGCTCCGATTGATTCAGGGGTAAAGGATAAATCGAGATGCAACTGTTATGTGTTCAAGAATTGATCATAACCCAAATCAAAAATCGAAGTTGTAGGTGTTTGAGGAAGATGATGATGGACCACGAAAAGAACCAAATTAGCTAATGGGAACGATTCTGATGATGCTAAAGCTTTTGCTAATTTAGGTATCAGTGATGTTGGCACTGGACTCGAAGATTTGGGGAAAGTAGGTGAAGCTTCTTCTTCCATTGATGGGGATACCAAACATGCGTCAATCCACAATCATTAGAACACCAGAATGAATCGTTTTCTTCGTTTGAGTCAACCAATTTGATAATCAAATTCACATGCCAGTCACTTTGACGATATCATTACATGTGAAACATAAATTTTGACTATCCAAAAACTTCTTTGACTAATTAGTATTCAATTTTGACTATCGCTTCATCACATCGTCAATTTTGATAACCAAATCCACATGTCAGTCTCTTTCTTTAAATGTTTGTATATGATGTTAACAATCGGAGGTTTAGAGTATGCTGATGTTGTTCTTGATAAAAAGGTTTTGTTTTTCTTGGTGAGCAATGTGGAATTGGGTTCTAATGGTGACAGGATGATGAAGGTGAATGTCAATGGTGATGATGGTGCTAGTGTTGATGGGTTTTTGGTGGGTTTTTGGTGAGGAACAGAGGAAAGGAATCGTGAAAGAGTGTTTGAACCAGTTCATGAGTTTTTATCTAGAGAGAGAGAGGGTGGGCCCCTTCTTAATTTATTAATTATTAAAATAAATATATTAGTATTAGATTTAAAAAGAAATGAAACAAAAATGAAAAATAAATAACACAAGGGTATTACAGTCATTTCACTATTCAGAGGGACCAAAAACGCAACAAAACTAGCTCAAAAGGACCACGAATCCAAAAAAGTCGTGGTTTGGACTAAAACCCCCAAAAAATGCATACCACAGGGACTATTTTTGTAGTTTTGTCTTTAAAAAAAAAAAAAGTTAGGGACCAACACGCAAATTAACCCAAACCATAAGGACCATTCGTGTAATTTACTCATTTGTTTATTAAATCATCTACTTTCATTTCATCCTGTTACAAAACTATATTTGGAAAAATCTACCCAATTATACTAATGTCATCCAAACACAAAGCATATTCACTCCTATAATTGGGTGGATTTCTTGATGTGTATAATGTCCAATTAGATTTTTTTTTCTTTTTTTGAAAGTACAATACTATAATCTAAGTAGATTTCCAAGGTATAATACCTTAGTAAGTAAGAAAATTTGAAAGCAAAATCGATCCTAATGTTACTACCAATAATCCCCACAGGAGCAAACTCCTCCTTGAAAGTGATGATAACGAATCGGATCTCTAATAACTATATTCCTATTCTCCATTTTCGCCAAAAGTTTAGCAAAAAGATGACAATCTCCACAAATTCTAATATTTTTCCTAATCCTAATAGTCTTTCCCTTAACCAAAACCATTAAACCATAAACAATCGCCAACTTTTCACTATGACACAACAACGGATCTTCCATTTGTTCTCCTTCAACATCTTGCAACACAAAACTCGTATCATGAACATACCCCACTTCCCTTAACCTCTTCACATAACAATTCACCTCTCTCATAATCTTTTCTATCTCCGGATGCGAATCATCCCTCACTATAAACGCATGAATCTCTTTATTCACTTCAATCCAACTACACCCGGGTTCCTTTTTGACGTTTTTACCCCTCATTGTTCTCCTCACTTTTTCCACATCTTCCCACCTTTGAGTATTTGCGTATATGTTTGATAGCAAACTATATGTACCCGAATCATCAGGGTCAAGGTCCAGGACTCGGTTAGCCGCATACGCGGCTAACCCTGTGTCTCGGTGCATCCCACATGCACCGAGCAGAGTCCGCCACGTCACCACATCGGGTCCCGGCTCCATGTTGTGTATCAATTTTACAGCCTCATTGAGTTGACCAGCTCTTCCAAGTAGGTCAACCATGCAACCATAATGCTCTCTTCCCGGTTTAATCCCATAAATAGTTTCCATTTTTTCAAAGTAAAATCGACCCTTTTCTACTAATCCCGCATGGCTACAAGCAAATAGGATTCCAACCATTGTGATGTAGTTAGGTTTGCTTCCGGAAGCTTCCATGGTTTGAAACATTTTCAAAGCTTCATGGCTGAAACCGTTTTGTGCTAGACCATTTATCATTGTGCTCCATGAGATTACATCTTTTTCCACCATTTTTGTAAACTCAAATCTTGCATCTTCCATGCTTCCACACTTGCAATACATGTCAAGAAGCGCGTTTCCAAGAATCAAGTCTTGGTTGTTGTACTTGAGGACATGAACATGTACTTGTCTTCCAAGTTCTAATAAAGCCATCCCTGTGACAGCACTTAAGACACTGGTTAATGTTGCTTGATCTGACATGAATCCGGATTTCTTCATTCGTTTGAAGAGATTCAAAGCTTCATCTCCATTGTTGTTTTGAGTGAATGCACCGATTATTGTGTTCCAGACGATTAAATCACTTGTTTCCATTTCGTTGAAAGTGGTTAATGCGTTTTGGAGTTCACCCCATTTGGAATATTTATCAATGAGTGAACTTCTGACAAATACATCAGACTCCAAACCAGCTTTAGTTATGCTGCAATGGATTTGCTTGAGGATGGGTAAGCCATTGCAGGATCGCAAAACAGAAGAATAAGTAAACATGTTGGGGCGAATTCCGTTTCTGATCATAAGAATCAAGAACTCCATGGCTTTCGTTCATTTTTGCATTAGAGAAAGCAGCTATCATGGTGGTCCAAGAGACTACGTTTCTCTCAGGCATTTCATCGAACAGTTCCTGTGCTTCGTTTAATAAGTTAAATTTGACGTACATATTCATGAGAGTATTAATCAAGAAAGTTTTGGGGTTGTACCCATTAGAGAAAACGTGTTTATGGACTAGTCTGGCTTCTTGGATGGCGCCACGAGCGAGACAACACTTAATGAGTTCAGAATATGTGACGGAATCGGCCCAAATTTGGTGCTTTTGCATGAAAGCCAAAGCTTTCATGGCAACCGGGAGGTCTTTGCGATAACAGGAGGCAGTGAATTCATCAAGTAGTGTATTCGGTGAGTGTGATCGGAGGGGAGTTGGGTGGCATTGATGATGAAATTGTAGCAACGATTGTAATATGCAAAAGCAACAGTAGCAGATATGGATTTGGGGTTGCAGATAGAGATTGATTTCATTTGTGTGTAAGTGTAAACTGAATCAAAATTGAGACGAACAGAATCACAATCACTGATGATTGCCGAACATCTGAAGAAGCACGTAGTGTTTTAACGAGTTTTGTACTCCTTCCCTCCCAACCCACCATTCCCAGCGCCAGCCTCAGCTTTTCTTTCTCCCACCACACATGAAAACCCTATTTTTTTCAACCCACTTACCCCGTCATTCTTTTTTATTTAATTTAATTAAAAAATATAAAATAAAATAAAACATAATATTTATTTGTTTTCTTTAAAAATAGAGTTTTGTTAATTTAAAACTAAAAAAAAATTGCTAAAATAATTTGTTCTATTAAAGAAAAAAAACAATAAATGTTGTACATAATTTGTTTTTTTAATAAAAAAAAAACAAACATAGAAAATTACATCTTGCATCGAATGAAAAAGAATAATGACAGGAAGCAAATTATGTTATTGGCTATTCATCTCAATATGCATGTATAGGGGGGGGGGAGGAGTCGTAGCGGGCTGGAGGAGGAGAGGGATAAGTGGGAGGAGAGCAATATAGAAAGAGAAGGGTGTTTCGGTTTGAGGAACCCGCTGGAGGTTGAAACCAAAGAAGAAATTTGGGGAAGACGGGTTGGGAGGCATCCGGCTTGGGCAAGTTCGAGTCCCTTCACCTTGGGTCCAACGGCTTGAGCGGGAGGAGAGAAACGATTTCGTCCTCCCTAACAGTGGGTTGGCGAACCCGCTAAATACAATAAATATTTCATCCCACTAGAACCCGCATGTGAAGGAAACATGAGCCGGCGGTACCGCCACTAAATTCCTAAACCGCCGGCGAACCCAACAACGATTTCGTCTGCCTAAGGGAGGACGAAATCGTTTCTCTCCTCCCGCTCAAGCCGCTGGACCCAAGGTGAAGGGAGTCGAACTCGCCCAAGCCGGATGCCTCCCAACCCGTCTTCCCCAAATTTCTTCTTTGGTTTCAACCTCCAGCGGGTTCCTTAAACCGAAACACCCTTCTCTTTCTATATTGATCTCCTCCCGCTTATCCCTCTCCTCCTCCAGCCCGCTACGATTCTTTCCCCCCTAAGGCATAGTACTTTTTAAAAAGACAAAACTTCAAAAATGGTCCCTGTGGTTTTTGAAAATCTGAAGTTTAGTCCCTAATTTACAAAAACCTCACGGATCGTCCCTGTGGTTTCAAAACTTTTAACATTTGGTCCTTCCAGCTCACTCCGTTACCATTTAGCCGTTAAGTAAGGGGCATTTTTGTCATTTCACTACCAGGGACCATTTATGAGGTTTTCTAGTACTTTTTAAAAATAAATAAATAAAGAAATAAAATTTAATATGCAATGGGTCCCACCCCATCTCTCTCTCTCTCTCTCTCTCTCTCTCTCTCTCTCTCCACCTACAAAGCAAACCCATCTCTGTTTTTTGACTGTCGGCTTCCCCTTTCGCTTCTACTCTCTTCTCCCCTTTCTTGATTAAGCTTTTTGACAGCAACAACAAGACCGGTTCCAGGATTAGTAGTCTCATCGATCCAACCCTTGAAAACCGATTCAAAATCGTCTTCTCCCAGGCACTATAAGTTTCTCTCGGATATCAGGTGTTGTAATCGTTGGTGACGACAGAAGGAGTGATAATAACTCCGGTGAGGAGCTAAAGATGCAGACGTCTGAATTCCTCGTTGAGGTAGTGAAGGGCCTGAGAAAGGCTCTTAGATTGTACCTGTTTAATTTCGATATGATTAGAGATGGTGAAGAAGATGGGTATCTGGTGATTAATATGAATTACTTCCCTGGTTACGAGAAATTGCCTTCTTATGAAACTGTCATGATTGATTTCTTCTTGAATGTAAAGAAATTACAGGAGTTGGAGAAGATGAAAAAGAAGGAGATCGACGACAGGTGGAAATTTGGTAATCAAAAGTAGATCTGATAATGAAGTTGATGAAGTAGATCTGATAAAGAAGGTGTCCTATAGGGGGGGGGGGGTTTTTAGTTGCAGAAACACAATGAAGAATGGGTTATGAATCTGATCGATTCCAAGAAGAAAGATTCAAAAGTAGTCGGGTTTTATGCCATTAAAATGGGTTATGAATCGAGTGAAGAAATTCAACATGTTATAGTAGGAAATTGGAGGCGAGATTGGAATTATTCACTGTGGAGTATACACTTCTCATCATTTCTGCAGATCAATCGAAACTAGCACCAAAAAGCAACAAGAACATCATCATACAACATCCGGTTACAAGTGAATAAAGAAAGGAAGTTTGATTTCTTCTGTGTTTATTTTCATTCTTCAAGGGCTGTTGATTATTAGCGAATAATGGGGGATGTAATTATCGGGCTTAACATGATCTGGCACTTGATCATGTATTGGAGAGAGAGAGAGAGAGAGAGAGAGAGAGAGAGAGAGAGAGAGAGAAGAGAGAGAGAGAGAGAGAGAGAGAGAGAGAGAGAGAGAGAGAGAGAGAGATGGGGTGGGACCCCTTGCATATTAAATTTTATTTATTTACTTATTTATTTAAAAAAAGTAATAGAAAACCTCATAAATGGTCCATGGGTAGTGAAATAACAAAAATGCCCCTTACTTAACGGATAAATGGTAACAGAGTGAGCCGGAAGGACCAAATGTTAAAAGTTTTGGAACCACATGGACGATCCGTGAGGTTTTTTTAAATTAGGGACTAAACTTCAGATTTTCGGAAACCACAGGAACCATTTCTGAAGTTTTGTCTTTTAAAAATATTTACAAATGTGTGGTAGTTCCAAACATAATTACCAAAACATGGTATTTTGGTATTTGCCATTACTTAGTACTTACCAATTTAAATTAAATGGAATATACATAAATAGATCTCACCTGAATTTTTACTTAGGATTTAAATTATTTTTACAATAAAAAATGAGCTATAGATAATATCTATCCACCATAACTTCTATAGTATGAATTTATAATATAAAATTAAAATTAAAATAAATGATCATGTCTTTATTATATCAAAGTTTTTTTCTTTTTTTTCTTTGTTAAAATAGTTCTTAATTAAGAGCATATTTGCTCGAGTGATTAATAAAATCACTTAAAGTTGTCTAAAAGAATTTTAAGCTAAAATATAAAGTAATAAATATTGCAAATGTTATTTTTTCTTAAACATTCTATATTAACGGCTGTTATATTCTTGACAAAACGACATCTAGTTTCATTTTTTTTTTCTAACTTTTATGAATAAAAGCATAATCACAAAAGTAACAAAACTGAAAACAGTCATCAAAGGTCATAAATACAAATATACCTTGCATAAATCTTATATAATCAATCATCACTAAAAAAAACTCTAATAAATCCTACTCCGTCAACCACAATTACACATTAGCAGGTCGTTTTCTAGGTTTAGAAGGACATTTTTTTTATTATGACCGCTTTGTCTATACAATCCAATACCAACTATTATATGATTCATTGTCGACAATAGCAAATGCAAGAGGAAAAATCTGATTGTTACCATCAACCCCCATTCCAATCATCATCTTGCCCTTGTATTTACCATATAAATGTGTCGCATCAATGCTAATGACAATGACAGGTCGACAGTGCTCATATCCATGGATAGATGGTGCAAAAGCCCAAAAAACACGTTTGAACTCTACCTTATCAACATTACTACTCTCCACTTGATCCATATTGGTCAATCTAGCAGTGCACCATTCAACTATAGTCCCTGGATTGAAATACTGAAGTGCAGCAAGAAACTTTGGTAAAACAATATAAGATTCCTCCCACTTTCCAAATATGTGTTCAATTGCCTTCTGCTTTCCCACCCAGACCTTCCTGTATGAAGGAGTATATCCTAATTTATCAACTATTTCAGCTCTTAAATTAGGAATACTAATAGATGGTTGTTCCTTTATAAGGTGTTCAGTTTCTTGAGCGATCAAGTTTGCATCTAGATTTGGATGGTCTTGAGTAATTCTATATTGGAAACAAGTATGTGGATCAATGTATCGTGTTATTTCAAAATAACCAATGCGTTGACGTTTAGATGCACGCAGTTTCCACTTACAACCGGTTTGTGTGCATAACTTACATCTTACATTCGAAATTGTTGGACATTTTTCAACCACTTCATATTGTCGATGCTTTTTAATCGTATAAAGTTTGATAGCTCTGATAAGTTCATCCTTATTTTTAAAAGAATTTTCTCCTAACTTTTGAGTTAAATCATTTTTACTTTCAGAGTGTGATACCATCCAATTGTTAACATTTGCCATATTTATTCCTTCTAAACTATTAAAACTAGAAGGTACCTCAATGTCATCTCTTTCCACGGTTGCATTTCTTCCTTTCTCAATTTCACATTCATCTCCACTTTCGTCTTCTTCATTGTCCGTGTCAAACCCACTATTCATTCCATAGTTCATAACCGCAAATTGGGAAATTATGTTGAAGTCCTCGTTCAGAATCATGTCTGTCACGCTGACAGAGTGATTCATAGTGGGTAATAAAGTGATGTTTGTTTCCTGTTCTATCAAAACTGGTTCTTGAGTTCTGCAAGTAATGTTACAAACAAAATAAACAAAAAAAAAATAATACAAGTAAAAAAGAATTTAAAAAATGATGTATCAAATAAGTCGTCATACCTAGGTGTTATATTCGTGTGGTTTTTATTGCCACTAACTTCAACCTCTAAGTATAGATCTATGTTGCTTAGTTCTTAATGGAGACTAAGCACGTCAAACATGATCTCAACGTCATTTATCGTCCTTGATTGGGAGAGGAATATATTTCATTACCTTTGTAACACCCGAAAATTTCAAGCCAATTTAAACTTTTAAAAACATTTCAAAATCATCAAAACATTACAATCTGGTTTCCAAAATGTATAATATCAGAGTTTTCCCAGAAACATAACAAAACATGAGGAGCTGTACGATCACACCTTTGCCTTACCACGATCCCCTGATGTACCTGAAACAATAAACTGAAACTGTAAGCCCGAAAGCTTAGTAAGTTACCCCCAAAATACCGATACACATACAGTCCACATAAACATGTCAGCAACATCATAACATAACAAACTGAACAGCATGTAATGGGTCCACAGCTTTACTGACTGGATTACCCCTGGTCCCACAGTGTGAGTCTGGATTGCCTTCCGGGCCCACATCTCACATCTGCATTGCCATCGAGCTCACAGTACGAGTCTCCCTTAGCCCGTATCTGGAATGCTCCTAGGGTTTGTTCGTTACCGTACGGAGCAGTACAACCTCAACCCATCCCACATAGCATATAAATCATGTAACATAACTACTGAGCATGCAATAACCACATAACATCATCGGTAGTCCTATAGATCTACCTAATTGGCATAACCACTAGCATGCAACACTAACTCATAAAGCATGCAATAATCATATAACATCACCGGTAGTCCTACAGATCTACCTAACTGGCATAACCACTAATATGCAACACTAACTTATAATCAACATAACCACTGCTAGGATAACATATCCAATGGGCCGGCCTTGGTGCCTTAGACCCCTTAGTATAGTGAGGATAACTCACCTCACAATGTCCACTGAAAATGATAGGCTCAACTCCTCGAATCACCAACACGAACTCCACCACCTATAGTTACCATAAAACCCTTTTCCATAAATTTCCAAATTACCAAAATGCCCCCAAAGGTCAACTGGTCAACCCTTGGTCAAATCAAGTCCACAGTCAAAAAGTTCAACAGTCTATGTGACTCGACTCGTCGAGTGCAGTTCACCGACTCGTCGAGTCCTTCCTGAACTCGAGAAGTCGTAAAATCCTTGGTTGACTCGTCGAGTTTCCCTATATCTCGCCGAGTTCATGCATGTCCAAAGGTTGGGAAAACCCTCGCCGACTCGCCGAGTCACTCGACTGACTCGCCGAGCCCACGACAACCTTCATCGGACTCGTCGAGTCGTTCATACAACTCGCCGAGTCGTTCATACAACTCGCCGAGTCTCTTCAGTCCTTTATTCATACAGACGATCTTAAGCCATGCTAAGGCTCCAAATTGTAGATCCAGCTTCCCAAGGCATGTTTATCACGTAAAGTTGCAAACTTTACGTGCATGCATGGCTCTAAAGGCTCTTAATGACAAATCCAAGCTTACAATGGAGTTTTACACTCAAGGAAGGCTTCAAACATGACCAAGCTCGAAACTTTATGAACCTAGAACCCAAGAAGGGTCCAAATCTGAAGTTGCAACTTCAGATCTAGCTCATACACCACAATATCATCATAACCAAGCCAAAACAACCCTAAACCTCACCCAAATGAGATCTAGAAAGAAATGAGGTAAAGGTGACGACTTGATACCTTCAAATGATGCTAACTGAGGTAGATTTATGATCCCCCACACTTTCCTTGCTTCTAGCCTCTTGCCCTCCAAGTTCTTCTTTCAAAGATACACTTTCCAAAGCTTAAAACACACAAGAATGAAGCACCACACGGATTAGGGTTTTCTGGACTCTCAAGGGACTGTAAAGAGGCTGGAGGAGGCTTATGATTCTTTAAATAGGGTGCAAAACCCCGGGATTTAGGGTTTCATCTGCCAGCTCCTACTCGTCGAGTAGGTCACTAAACTACGTGGACCAACCCACTGCTACTCGACGAGTAGGGCAACCAACTCGTCGAGTAGATCTTGGAATCACAGAAATTCTTATTTAAATCAATACCTGAGAATCGGGGCGTTACAATTATCCCACAACTAGACTTCGTCCTCAAAGTCTGCCGCGGCGAACAGTTCCGGATAGTGCTCCCGGATCTCTGCCTCTGGCTCCCACGTCCACTCAGACTCCCTACGATGCTCCCATTGTACCTTCACCAAGGGTATCTCCTTGTTCCTCAAAACTTTCATCTTCCTTTCCAGTATGGCCACAGGCCTCTCCACATAATTCAGGCGTTCATCAACCTGAATATCATCTAGTGATACCACTGCCTCCTGATCCATAATGCACTTTCGCAATGCGAAACGTGGAAAGTGCTGTGGATCCGACTAAGCTCCTCCGGTAGCTCTAGCATGTAAGCCACCTTGCCAACCCTGACAATGATCCTGAACGGTCCAATGTAATGGGGACCCAATTTCCCCCTCTTCCTGAAGCGGATCACACCCTTCCAGGGCGAGACCTTCAGGAGAACCATATCACCCACCTGAAATTCTAACTCAAATCGACGTCTGTCGGCGTAACTCTTCTGCCGAATCTGAGCGGTCTGCAATCGCTGCCTAATCTGCTGAATCTTCTCGGTAGTCTGCAATACTAGCTCCGTCCGCCCCATCACCCTGTGTCCGACTTCACCCCAACAAACTGGCGTGCAACATCTCCGTCCATACAACAGCTCGAAAGGCGGGGCGCCAATGCTGGAATGATAGCTGTTGTTGTAGGCGAACTCTGCAAGCGGTAGGTGGGAATCCACTCCCACCGAATCAATGACACACGCCCTCAACATATCCTCGAGGGTCTGAATGGTCCGCTCGCTCTGACCGTCAGTCTGCGGATGAAATGCTGTGCTGAAGTGCAACCGCGTGCCCAACTCCTCGTGGAACTTCTGCTAGAAACGGGAGGTAAACCTGACATCCCGATCGAGACAATGGAAACGGGAACCCCATGGCGAGACAACGATCTCAGACGTACGTGTCGGCCAACTTCTCGGCCGACGAACTCTCCCGAATCGCCAAGAAATGGGCACTCTTGGTCAATCGATCACGATGACCCCATATACATCAAATCCCTTTGCCGTCCTTGGCAACTTGGTAATGAAATCCATCGGGAAACTGTCCCATTTCCACATGGGAATCTCTAGAGGCTGCACTTACCATGCGGCCTTGATGTTCAGCCTTGACCATCCGCAGGTCAAGCACCTCTCGACATACCAAGCGATTTCTCGCTTCATACATGGCCACCAGTAGCTCAAACTCAGGTCTCTATACATCTTGGTGGCCCCCGGGGTGAATAGAAAAATGAGACTTATGAGCCTCCTCCATGACCGTCTTGCCATGACCCACCACCAGACATCGGAACCCAGACCCAACCGCATCGGTCAATAATCCCCGACTATCCTGCATAACCGGGTATTCTCACCCTTGATCCGCTCCCCAATTCTCCATTCTCCGGTCGCAGCCCTCAACCTGGGCATCTCTGATCAAACTCACAAGCGGAGAATCCACTGCTATCCCATACATACCGCTGGGGTGGAAGACCCCGCTGACTTGCGGCTCAAAGCATCCGCAACCACATTCGCTTTACCAGGGTGGTAAAGGATCTCGCAGTCGTAGTCCTTGACTACATCCATCCACCTGCGCTGTCTCATGTTCAGGTTCGGCTGATCCATGATATGCCTCAAGCTCTTGTGATCCTGTATATGGTACAACGGACCCCATAAAGGTAATGCCTCCATAATTTGAGAGCGAACACCACTCTCCCAGCGCCAAATCATCGTAGGGTATCACGTCTCGGCGGCTTCCAACTGCCGAGACGCATAAGCTATCACTCGTCCCCTTTGCATGAGGACTGCCGCTAGACCTGTGATGGATGCATCACAGAACACCACGAAGTCCTCAACTCCTTCCGGGAGTGTCAAAACTGGAGCCTCACACAACCGTTGTCGAAGGGTCTCAAACGCCCTCTGCTGCTCAGGGCCCCACCGAAAATCCACCCCCTTCCTTGTCAGATGAGTGAGGGGTACTGCAATCTTGGAGAAATCCTGAATGAATCTCCGGTAGTATCCCGCTAATCCCAAAAAGCTCCTGATGTCCGAGGGAGATTTCGGAACCTCCCAGTGCATGACCGCCTCGATTTTGGCCGATCGCCAAAATCCCCTCCTGGTTAACGAGGTGTCCAAGGAACTGGACCTCCCTACCAAAACTCACACTTCGAGAACTTGGCATATAGCCGCTCTCGTCTCAGAACTTCCAATAGCTCCCTGAGATGCTCCTCGTGCTGCTCTCGGGTCTTGGAATACACCAAGATATCATCTATGAACACGTTAACCTAGCGATCAAGCATCGGTCTGCAGACCCGATTCATCAGGTCCATGAATACTGCTGGCACGTTGGTGAGCCCGAACGGCATCACCACGAACTCGTAGTGACCATAACGAGTCCAAAACATGGTCTTCTCCACGTCCTCCTCTCTAACCCGTACCTGGTGATATCCCGATCTCAAGTCAATCTTGGAGAACCAAGATGCA